TCCCTACACAGGCAGAGGCCCATAGCCTTTCCACAGTGTAAGCTGTAATCAGGTTCCCCTGTAAGGCCCTGTGTTATCCCCCCTCTCTTTATGTGATGTAAGAATATTCATTGCTGAGAAATCCCAGTCTGGTTTGGAGCTGCAGCCACGGGAGGTTGCCGTGGTCTCTGTCCCACACCTGCCTCCATGTAACTCAGCCAGAGGGAATTACTAGTCAGTCCTGTTCCTACAAAGCCCGATGGAGTTTATTCACCGTTGACATTAGCGGGATCAGAATTGCATACCGTCTGCACAAGTGTAGGTTGCTCCTAGGTCCTGGTACCACATTCATTGCCACAGGGTCTGAGTATCTTTGCTGATTGCCTTTTCCACGTAGGGTCCCTTCTGTAGCTGAAGGCAGCACTCTTTCTGCGATTCCCTTCTTTGCCCGTCACACATTTCCCTGCCTTTGTCACCTGTACTCATGTCACATGGATGCTCCTAGCTATGGGGCTGGCTTCCCTTCAAGAAAGTGCTTCTCTCAAAGAACGTGTAATAACAGCTTTATTTCCTCTCACCCAACAGAGACTGAGCACGCACTAGAGCATTGCAAACATACAGGGCAGAGAACCATAATCACAAGAAAAGTTCCCCAGCCAGTGGCCCTGGGAGGCTCCAGCCCAGCCTTAGCTGCCCCAGCATTCAGGTGCAGAAGGCCAGAAGCTTCCAGCATTTCTTTGAACTCCATCAAACTCAGAGTGATTTCATCTGGCTCTTCTCCTCCTGGTTGGCTCCAGACTCTGCTTTTCACTAGGAGCCCTCACTTGCCTTTCAGAACAAAATGAGGGCAGTTAGCCCCTGTCTTCTCTGGCAAACTGCTAAGGCAACCCAACTGATTTCCCCAAGGAGAGCAAGAAAGGAACATAAAGCAAAATGCTGCAGCATAAAATAGACATAAAACAGAGGAGAAAAATAGCAGATAGGGCTGCTTCCGTATGCTGTCTAGATCCGATTCTTGCAGCCACGCCACAGGCAACGCAAGCTGTATCAACTACAGAAGCAACCCCACTAAGCATCAGACCCCCCCATTGCAACCCACCTGCACCCTTTGGTCTTACTTGGGTCAGAAGCTTGCCTGGGGTGGGTCGAGGTCTTTCTGCATGGGTGGTCCAGCATCTGCCCTCCCTCTTTGTATCTCTCATCTCTTGGCACCCCCTCAAGTATAAATAACACCGAGCTGATGGAGAACAGGTTTAGGATGGAGATCAGAAGGCAATATTTTACAGTTAGGGTGGTCAAAATCTGGAACCAACTTCCCAGGGAAGCGGTCCTTGCCCCCGTACCTTGGGCAAATTCAAGAGGAGGTTGGATGATCACCTGTCTGGGGTCTTCTGACCCCAGCAGGCATCCCTGCCTGTGGCAGGGGGTCAGGCCAGATGATCTGTTCAGGTCCCTCCTGACCCTAGCAACTATGAAACTGTGGAAGGCCGAGTTTTGGGGCTGCAGGGCCTGAATTATGGTTGCAGCTCCATAGGTGAACACTTTTGTTAGGGAAGGTGATCATAGCCTGTCCATAGGTAAAGCTGACTTTGAAACCACTCTAGTTCCATATCTACTTTCTGCTGTTCTGTTTTTCAATTCCCATCTCATCGACAGCTAGTTCATGCTCTGAAAAACAAGTACACCGAGTAATGTTCTGCAAATAGGACTGCAAAGTGCTTGCTATTTTTTTTAAAAAGGCAAGGAAAAGGTGCAAAGCAACAATGAGATTCAATTTGGGGTAGGCATGTGAGCCCATACCTGGGGACAGATAATAAGCAATACAAAGCATAGAAGAAGAGAGTAAGGAGCAAGGCAATAATGCTTCCTGAAGCAGGAGTAATTAGCCTTGCAGGGAAGTGGTAACTTGATGTTAGACACTAGATTGGACTAGAAAATGTATAATAGACAAGGACCCTGTTTTGGCAGGAGATTCTCTTGCATCATCATTTTCTGGTAGTTCCTAATTGGGTCTCGTAGCCAGGAAGCAGGTGATCTCAGGGGCTGGCTTCCCATATCCGCATCCCCAGAGTAAGCTCTAATGCAGCTTGCCCTGCCCTCAAGCCAGGCTTCGGAGCTAGAGAGCGCCCATTTCCAGGCATTTATTTTTGCTGCACCTTTCACCAGCTCAGGATTCAGCTCTGTAAGCTGCAAGGTGTCCAGGCAGTTAACATCACTCACCTTGCTCTCACTTTTTTGTTTCTTATGCAGAGAAGCAGCGGGAACTAGCTCGGAAGGGGTCCCTGAAGAATGGCAACATGGGAAGTCCAGTTAATCAGCAACCCAAGAAGAACAACGTGATGGCACGGACAAGGTAGAGTATTTTAAGTGTTCAAGTATACCAGGTACCACCCTCCCTGGTGGGCTTGCTAGGAGACAGGGACAACCTTGGTTCCTATTTGCATAATGCTGAGCACGCTGACTGTCGGTAACGGTAATGCTGGCTCTCTCGGGATCCGACAGGCCCCACGCTCCATCTGCTGCATTGCACTAAATTTCTCGGGGAGCTATAGACAGCAGCAGGGCCCAGAAATGGTGAAAGCTCGGCCTGGAAAGGACTCGTCGACTCCTCTTGAAAGGAAGCCGTCGGTCCTGTTGAAAGCAGACTAAACCCAAGGCTCCATCTGCTTGACCGAGGTGCTCATGGCAATCCAGAAGGCCATGTAATCCGTCAGGCAGGTGCGTGTCTGACGCTGCTTCCAATAACAGCAACCTGATTTAGAGTTTAGCTCTGACTCTGCAGCTTTTATCCCAGTAATTTGGCTGCACCTCTTTGAATACAAATGCTTCCAAACCCAGGTTGACTTAACAGCCCATCTGGATGTGTGTGGCTCTATATACCGTTCTCCCTTACACATGCACCTTTTCCCCAAAATCACCCCCTTCCCAAACTGGGGGGTATTTAAGGTGGGGATGTTGTGTTCTTCACTTGAAAAAAAAGCAAGGTGGAGATGCTTCGCATCTGCCAAGGTGGCTGAGTCCTGTGTTAACCCTCCCACAGCCATAGCTGTTGGCTTAGCACTGTAGCTTGTGCCTGCAGCAGCAGGTGAGCTGCAGGAAGTATCTTGATTAGGCATCTAAAATGGAAACAGCACTTCATTTGCAGGAACTTATATAAAGAATTACTTGCAGTAAATCACTAACAGTTTTGCTGCTGCCCTTGGAAGGGCACAAGGCCTAAACTTGTGTGACACGGTGCGTCTGCACACGATGCTATGGTGCCATAGCATCACACTACAGGGACCTAGCAACCACATGCATCTACATGTGACAGCAGCTACTTTGCCGTAGCAGCGCATGGCCTCGTTGTAGCGCGCCGCGACAGCAAAGTAGCAGCTAAAAACAACCATGCGCCTGGCATACAGCACAGTATGGGCTGCTACTACGCTGTGCTTTAGTACTTCCAAAAGGAAGTAGCAACGTTGCTGCACGGGCACGTGTAGGCGCACCCACAGGGTATGTCCTCCTGGAGACGGACAGTGTCTAGGAGATGCGTCATCTCAGGAGACAGTCTGGGTGAAGCAGCTGGCACCCAGAACTTCCTGATGCTACACTTCCTGGATGCTCTGTGTCCCCAAGAGGACATAGGCAGCCAAGACTGGTAAAATCTCCCCGACCCCCCATTTTCTGCCTTCCAAAAACAAGGTGTGTGTTTTATTTGGGGGTGTTATATGCACAGGAACATAGGATCTTTCCTGTAGACTCTGAACAGCATCACCACCTTCCCAGAGCTGGTAAATAGTTAGTTTGTGCTACTCACTGTTGCAGGTGGCTAGGACACCTGGGCACCAGCCCCACACAGTTCAGCTCTGTCCCCATTTATTGCCCATAGTACTAATCAAGTTTCAAGAAACAACAGTGAGCATAAATAGAGAATTTTTAATTGCTGATGACCGGCTAACCAAACCAGCTTGTGGAGGTGAAGTGTTGCAGGGGACCGTTACATCTCCGAAGTGTGATAAAACAATTACATCTCTTATACCTTTATTAAACATTGAATAACTGTAGAAACCAATCAGATTCTAATGACTGCATAAAAAAGCCAATCACCGGGCACCACACAGAGACGCAGGCAAGTGTACCCTATTTCACTGGGTTGGAATATGTACCAATTCGTTGTCTCCTTATTGCTGAGTCTTTCTTCACATTTCCCTGTCTTCTTGGAAGATGCTTCACTAACTTATCTCTCAGGTGTGATCTGGAAGGGCTTTTAAGCTCCCTGCTTATTATATATTTAGCAGCTCAACTTCTTCTTGTTTTGTACAGCTCTAGGAGGAGGAGCTATCGTCACAGTTTTAATGCCAAATTCCCCAACCAGACCTATGCCCTGCTGGAAAGCAAGTATAACTCCAGGATGTCGTCCTCAAACTTGTATCTGGGGCAGGATGTTATTATGTGCTCCGTGGTTTGGTCAGGGTTTCTACCGTCGCATACAGGCAAGGTTTTTAGGTGCCACTTGTACATCAGGTGGCCACACCAGCCATGTCCGGTGTTTATCCTATTATGGGTTGTCCACGTGCTTCGTAGAAGGTTAAAGCCCGGTTGTTGCCTTGTTGCAGGGAGGGCTCTGTTTGAGTACAACAGCAAAGGTGCTGTTTTTCAGCGGGCACCTGTGCTTAAGAAGAGAGGAGGATGTTCACGGGCGGGTGAGAGAGTTGCAAAGATTCCCATGTATGAAGTGCACTAAAAGCTGCCCTTCAGATCCTCTTCGCATTCTACGTGTCCATCTGACAAGATGTTTTGTTCAAAGTCATCTCCAGTACCTGCAGCAGTAACCAGCATTCATGTCAGGGCGCTGCCAGGTTTTATTTGTGCGTTGCTGTGATGTCCGGAGAACGTGTCGGTGGTTCACGCTTGGAAGTTTTTGCCCAAGCAGAAGCCTCGAGCCCTTTGTCACAAGCAAGCGATTCAGCAAATGTAACGAAGAAGTAGAAAATGTTCATCAGGGTTTTGTGTGCCACACTTCTTCATAGTCTCCCACCTAAATCAGGAGAGTAGGAAAAAACGTTTGTTTCTGTGGGCTTCCCAAGAGAGAGGGATAAGCCTCATTGCTTGGGAAATTAGAAAATACAGAGCCCTGCAGTCAGTGCTGGGACTGGGCGTGAGGAAGGGAGGGGAGAGCTGGCAAACAAAGGGGACTCGTGGAAGGATTAGCAGCTGCTTAAGAACTGCAAATGGAAATGGAGGGCTGCTCCTGGGAGAGGAACAGCTATTCACAGATGCTTTGGGATTAATGCTTGAAAAACTGGCTCCCCTCCTCGACAGATGTAACTTTAAACTGTTTTAAAAGAAGATGGGGGTCTCGTCACTTGGGAACACCTGGCAGCTGTTCTGATTTAACCATTACTTCTGCACCTGTAAGTGAGCTGACCCCCTGTAACCGCAGCCCTTTACACCAGTGATGCTCAACCTCCCAGCCCCGCAGGCTGGATGAGTAGCACCAGACCAGTGGATGGGCTGCATCTTGTGGGCAGGGGTTGGTTCATGAACATGAACCGACTCACCGACACAACCCAGCTGCCAGATCTGGCTGCCACGTGACCTGGCACACTGGCCTGACCCGCACGCTGGATCCAGCCACAGACCAACCCCACGTGCCGGCATTATCCAGCACGTAAGGCCATGTCCTCTGCCCGCAGGACTCCCCACGAGTCCAGAAATATAGCAGCGGGGGAGCAGCCACGGCATTCTGGAAGCAATGCTGCCACCGCTCCCCCACTGGATCGCTGGACCCGTGGTGAGCCCCGTGGGCTGGGCTGCAGGTTCAGCACCGGTACTTCAAATGGTTAAAGTGACATCACTCCGCTCCACTTCCACCATTCTCGGGGCAAACAGACATACCAGTTGCATTGGAACGTCTTATACTGGGGCGATTTGATCCCAGTGTAACTGTTACATCTGTCCCCATGCTTAGATTTCTGTCACAATGTCTTGCTGACCATTAGTCTCATCACCCTCTGCCCTCAGCCTACAGGCACTTAAGTAAGAAAGACCCTGTCAGGGACCCTCCCAGTACCCACGCCTTTCCCTGATGACTCAGGCCCCAAGAGCATAAGCAAAGCCCATGAAATTGTTAAAACAGCGTCTGTGCTCTGAAGCTTACCGCATGCCAGTTCTTGTGATTTTGCTGGAGATATTTCTAATATCCACCTCTAACAGTACTTTCACTCCAGGTTGTGAACTCACTTCAGTCTCGGTGGAATGAGAGCATTGAAGAAGGCTCTGTAGTTTTCTGCTGACTGGTACATTATTTCCCCCCTTTTATCAGTCTCTTCCTTCTCCCAATCTTGGGGTTTTTTTCTTTTCACTTTATTCACCTTATCATTCCCCCTCCCGCCCCCACCACCTCCCTTGTTTCTTATTCTTCTGTAAGAGTGTTATAAATGTCTGACACCAAGCCTCCGGTATCGCATTTCCCTCACTGCCCTGTCTCTGCCTCTCTCTCGTGGGGAGAATCAGATTTAGGGATAAAAGAATAATTCAGCCCTTGACCTTTGGGAGGTTGTTGGCATGGTGCTCTCACTGGTCCTGCATTTTTTTTGAGCTAGGCCAGTGTCCAGTAGGATCAGTCCGAAAATCCCAAATCACTTCAGGTGGGGCAGTAAGCCATTGGCTGGTATCATTGTACAGTAATTTTTTTTGATCTTCACAACCGAGGACCTAATCTCCTGATCAGTCCAGCCCCCCATTTATGGAGGGTTTTTTTAATCAATACTATTCCTTTCCTCCCCCGTCCAGCCATGTTCCAGCTCTCAATCTCTCCCCCCCCCAACCATGTAGATAGCTTTCTTTTTCCTCTGTTCCTTCTTATAGCTCAGCTAGACTCACATTTTGCAATTGCATCTTTCATGCTCAGTAACTGAAAACACTGTCATGCGAAGCACAAAGATGATGTGCACATGAGGGGGATGAGGCAACTGGATTCTGCAGCATTTGAGAGGCCAAACAACAGACAAGAGAAAAGAGGAAAAAATGTGAAGCCAGGGTTGGAGCTAGCACTGCAGACTCTGCCTTTAGGAGTAAAATTAAATGTTTATACTGCAGAGAACAATGGGGCTAAGTACAGACAGTCAAAAGGCCCAAGGCTGAATTGATTCAGTCTTCACAGGTTTGTCTAAATTGCGTAGATTGAACCAATAAGCAAGTGAACAGACATTCACTTTTGATCCCGGAAATGCAGCCACGTGCCTGCAGTGGCCTGGGCCAAAGGCCAGGGGGCGCCAGAGCACTCCTCACTGCTGGGCTGGAGCAGACAGCTTGGGCCAAGGCTAGGCCACCCACCCTGCAAAGGAGGGGTTTGCAGGGAAGGTGCAAAGCATCCTGGGGTGCTGGGGGATTATGCATTGACCTGAATCTGGAGGGGGTCTGGAATAGAAGTTCGATAAACCGATTTAACCTAAATCAGTTCAATCTGATACTACATCCTTCCAGGTTTATCTTAAACCAGTGTCAGCCATTTTGAAAGCGGTTTGTGTGCACTGAACTGGTGTGTTACAGATCTGAACCAATTTCTGATCACTTCGACCAGTGTATGTCATTCTGTCCCTAGCCCAATAGTCAGACATTGCTTGGGAAAAGGATGTAGTTGATTATAGAGGAAATAAAGTACACCATGAAGGGCACTTTTCCCAGGCTACTTGACAATACAGGGCCGATTTGGACAGAAGTAAGAGCTCTTAGCTGTCGTATTTGGGGTGGCAGCTTTAAACTGAAGAGCAAGCTTGGCATCCAGTGCTGCTAGCCAACTCTGGCTGACCACAGGCTCTGTTCCTGAGCCTAAGTGTCCTGGCTTCTTGATCTACTTCCCATATTGTTTCCAGAAGTAGACAGACCCTCCCATATGTCATGGAAGGCTGGATCTCCATTTTGCAAGAGGCTCCCTTTGTTTCCTCCACTTCACTGGTGCAACAGATTGGAAATGCTGCAGCCGCTTTGAAGTAATTTTTAAAAATGTAGTTTTTTAATGACTTCAGGAGGGAACTGGCTAATACAATCAGTGGCAAACCTGCATGTGCGCTTTGATGTGAAATTCAATATATTCTGCTCTTCCCTGGAGTTGCCAATCTTCAGTGCACAGCAGCTTTTTGTATGGCTAATGTCACGAGCACTTTGCAGAAATTGCCGGTGGAAACGCTGGATGCTTTTTGCAGCTGAGCACGGAGCAATTGGAGCTTTTGGCCTTGGTCAAATGAACTGTCGTCTGTAGACTAACATTAACCCTTCCGTTCCCAAAAGCCAAGCTTGCTGAAGGAAAATGAGCCCCTTTGTTGAGTTTTGCAAGGTGTCGGTAAAGGAACAGAGCTTTACTCCATTGAAAAGGAGGGGGAAGTTCACCCCTCTGCCATTGTTTCAGCTCTCAGCATACCTCGCTCTTGCTTCCCTGGTTGAATCTGGTTCTTGTGTACAAGGTTTTCTCCATTGCTGTGTGTCCATTTAGAAGCATCATGCTTTTAAATGCAGGATGCAGTTCTAGAGTACAGCAGTTCTCATCAGGGGGTGGGGGAGTTGAAGGTAATAAGCCCGCTTACTTTACAGGAAGATCATGAATCGATAGTCCGTTCCCTCACCATTTCATAAGTGATTGAGAGTATTAGCTTGTATTCGATAAAATCCTTGAGTATATTTGGGTTCTTTTACTGCACCTAGCAATTCTCACTCCTCACCTTGCTAAATATAGCCGTGTTTTCTGAACGCTGGCAAACTCCGAAACATTGGCAATTCAGAAATCCCTGGCAGGTTTTGCATTGTACGTGGCATGATAAATATCTTGGGTTTTAAATAAGGATTTACTTATGTAAGCTTCTGCATTTGGGGGTGGGTAAGAGCTGAGTCCATAAAAACCGGCGATTCGCTTATTTTGATTATTAGAAGTGCCAAGACTTGCCTTCTTATGGCTTCCTTGTAATATAGGCCATTATAACTTCTTGACTGCTACAAGACGCTAATCTAGTAGTCCACGCTCTGGAGACCCCAACACAGAAGGGACCAGCAAGCTCCCTTCCTTCATCCCTTTGAAATATGTTTCACACAAACCAAGGGCAACACTTGGTTCCATGTAATTGCATCAACCTATATTTATTCGTTGAAGATGTTTAATAAAAATGAAGTCATCTGAAATGAGGAGACCCTCTCTGCTGTCCTCATTGGCTCGTGGCCTTGACTTAAGCTTTGCACGGTACTGAACTTAAATTTGTATTTAATAGAAAATATTTAATTCTTGCAGGCTGGTTGTTCCCAATAAAGGCTATTCATCGTTAGATCAGAGTCCAGATGAAAAGCCACTGGTAGCCTTGGATACAGACAGGTATGCAAAGAGTTTCTTAACAATAAGATTGTATGTGGGATATTACATTTCTTCGTGAGTAATTCTGAAATCCAGGAGTCCTGACCTGCCAGACCCATCCTTGAATCACTCATGTTAGTTCCTCTCCCACCTTGCTGTGACCTCTAGCACATCTCTTAGTCTGTCTGCCCACCTCTGTATACAGAAACGTGTATGGAAACACTCATTTTAAGACTGACTTTGCATGCACAGTGCCTTGAAATCTATTGCTGAAAGGTGCTCTGCAAGCACAGACACTGCACGGTTAACCTCTTTGTGCAGAGAGCTGAGGTCCGCAGCATGGAGAGGCAGGAATCTAGAGAGAGAACAAGACTCTCTAACTGCCTCCTTCTCTTTGCTGTATCTTGTCATTCTCTACAGTGATGACGACTTCGATATGTCCAGATATTCCTCTTCAGGATACTCATCAGCTGAGGTGAGTTACACTCCCTTCTGCTTGCCTTGCCTCAGTGACGACTGGAAAGAAATAGCGTTCCTGAGAGGAGCAGGGCAAAGCATTTACAATAAAGGGATCTTCAAAAGACACAGCAGCAGCTCCACGATAATTGTATTCTTGTTGCTGAGCTAAAGGCCTCTCCCCTTGCCCCTTTGGGACAGGTATAATTTTATCCACTGGACGTATTTATTCTCTGTAGCGCTCAGGGTTGGAATTTCATGCTGCCAGACCTCCAGGGGAAAGGCGTCTTGGCAAAACCGATGCAGAAGGGTTAGACTGTAGGCCCCTGCCGCTTCAGTAACCATCTCTCTGACAAGTACAAATGAATGAATTCCCTGGGAAGCAAGAACGACACCATTTAGCGCCGTCTCCAGAGGGGGACTATTGACACATGCTATGAGTACAGGGGTCACTTTGTGCACGGTGAGCAACCTCCCCTTCACACCCTCTTTTTAGCCCAGGACAGGAGGAAGCTCCAGGAAGAACTTGTGAATAAGCTCTTCCTAGCTCTAGCTTTGGCTGAAGCGCAGGCCAGGGGCTGTGACTGGGCTATGCCAGTGTCCCTGCTAGGAACTGGACTCAGAAGTTCCTGGCTAGAGGGTCTTGTCCCACTGCTGAAGGTCAAACTGATCCCCACATTTGGGGTCAGGAAGGAATTTTACCCCATGGTCAGACTGGTATGGACTGGGGGTGTTTGCCTTCCTCTGCAGCAGGGGGTGTAACTTTCTTCCTGGGATCTCTTCAGTATATATTACCATAACCTTTTATAGAAACAGGATGTCCCACCTTTACCTGTGGCAGGTTTGGGTGTTGTGTCTTATGTTGTGTCAGGGTCAACGGTAGTTTTACTAAGAGATTAGACAGTGGCTTTGTATAGGATAGTTTGGATAATGATGATCCTGCCTCAGACAGGGGACTGGACCAGATGACCTCCAGAAGCCCCTTCCAGCCCTACTTCTCTAGACCCAGAGGTTCCTGTTTAGAGGGTTTTCCCTCTCCTCTTATGGTCAGACTGATCCCAACATTTGGGGCCAGGGAGGAATTGTGTCCTGTGGTCAGACTGGTTGAGATTGTCGGGGGGGGTTGCTTTCCTCTGTAGCAGGGGGGCATGGCTTCTGGCTTGGATCTTTTCTCTCCCTGCTTTACTTGTGGCAGGCTGGGATACTTTTGGGGTCTTTGGCCAATCTGCCTTGTAGTTGTGCAACAGGGTTGATTGTGCAGTTTTCACAATAGGTTAGACCAAGATTTGTACAGGATAGTTTGGATGGGGATGATCCTGCCTTGAGCGGAGAGTTGGTCCCTTCCAGCCTGACTTTTCTCTGTTTCTGTGATCCATTGCTCCTAGTCCTATCCCCTACAGCCACAGAGAAAACTGTTTCTTGAACCTCTTTATAATTGCCTGTATTCCAAAATAAGGGAGGATGTGAATTTAAAGAGCTGTAGCTTCTCTGGGTTTCATGCTCTTACTCTGGAATCAGCTTAAAACAGGGGTGCTCAACCCCCAGCACAGGCCAGATCCAGCCCTGGGTGATGTGTCATCCAGCCCATAGTGTTCCCCACAGATCTGGGGGGAGCCCTGGGGCCTGTGGCCCTACATGCTACATGGGGCATACAGGGAAGCATGGGACCCAATCCCAACCCACAGGGCCAGATGGGGCCAAGGCAGGAGAGGCATAGGGCCCCAGAGCCTGATTCTGGCACGTGCTGCCAGGCAGGGGTGGCACATGGAGATGGCACGGAGTCCAATGGACCAACCCTGCACGATTCGTCTGGCCCACGGGGCCAAAAGCTTGAGCACCACTGGCTTAAAACAAAAGGTAGCACCCTTACATCCTTGTAGGGAACTTCCTCTGAGTTTGCCCCATTCAGAAAAATAAATGTCTAAAGTATTTGACTGTGTGTCTCTTTGTTTGCAGCAGATTAACCAAGACTTGAACATCCAGCTGCTAAAGGATGGGTATCGGTTAGATGAGATTCCAGATGACGAGGACCTCGACTTAATCCCCCCTAAGTCTGTCAACCCCACCTGCATGTGCTGCCAAGCCACCTCCTCCACCGCCTGCCACATCCAGTAATGAGGACAGCAGGGCGTGATCAGTGCTTTCCACTATAACTGTAAAACTTAACGGCCATTGCTTCCTCCTATGGTAGGACGTGCATCTCTTTGTGTTCATGGAGCCAGGAGAAACCAAAAATCCATTTTACGATCAGTTGATAAGTTCTTCTTAAGCTCTGGTTAACAAACATAGAGGCTTGAAGTGCCAGACTGGGCCTGGTCTGGGGAGTTAATGCAAAAGGGCCCAGTGGTCCTAGGTCTGTACAGGCTCTGACTGAGGTCTGCATGGTGGCAGGGCTGGTTTGGGGCAGCAGTTATTCCTCCACGTCTCAGTTAATCTTATTGCAAGATCCATGGTGAACTGGAGACACAAGGTCTTTCTAACAGGGTGGGGAGGGCATTATCCTTAATTCATTCCCTAAAACCGATCCATTTTTGCCAACTAACTGGGTCCGGGCATAGGAGCAGAGTAAAATTCTGGAGGGGAGCCAGGCTAGCAAGGAGTAAGATGCCCTGAAAGTCAGCTGCACTCACAGAGCACACGTAGGCAGTATTTCATCCTGGGTCAATACCCACAGCCTCTTGGGCAGCCATGTCACACATCTGATGAATCTGCTCCTCGTTTCACCTTAAGTCACCCCCAGACAGGTAAAATTCTATCCGCAGGCCATCTTTGCTCCTTTTAGATTACTTTACTTCCAGGAATAACCTTACAGTCTCCACAAATTCAAGCCAGGTCACATTTCTCGGGTTTTGTTTAAATTTTTTGTAGCCCAACTCATGCCAAAAATCCATTAAATAAATTCTCATACGTGCAGGGACACAGAGATTAGGGCGGGAAGACCAAATGCGGTGAAGAATGCACATTTTTCCCACGTTTTCACATGTTTATCAACGCAGAATGCCAGTGTGGTCGGCGTTGTCCTAGGCTGGGAGGGGGAGCATCTTTTGGGAACAAAAAGACTGCAGGTAGGTTCACCTCATTAAAAGCACGAGGAGAACTGCTGTTATCCCACCTCTGCCCTTTTCTGGGACAACCATCGCTCACATTAAAGCTGTCTCAAGAGTGAGGGAACTTGTGTTTAGACAGTGCTCTCAGGAAACCTGGCTCTAAAATAAATGGATGGATGGTATCATCAATTTGCCCAGCAGCTGTGTTTGACACAGGCAGGTTTCCTGAATCATGCAGCACGTTGGCTTCCCAGTTTTTTTCTTTTGTTTAGTTTTTGGAGCTTTTGGCTGCAGAGTGCCCAGGAAAGACTGCCAGCATCGCCTTTAGCACTCACCTTAGCCCTGAGCAATTGAAAGATTGAGGAAAATTCGATCAGTTTTTCTAATCTCAACTCCTGTCTGGAAATTCCATAATATTGCAACAAGGTGCTGAAGTTTCACCTTTCTGAAGTACAAAGTCTTTGTTTAAAAGCCGCGGGCAGTCAAGCGAGTCCTTAAGCGGGCACTGTCACCTGCTCTTAACAGCTGTAAGTGGTGTTGGCTTTGATTCTGCCCATCACGAGGCACCACACCGTGTGCCGGTCTGAGCAAAGGATCAGGAGATGGCGGCTCCATTCCTCTCTCGCATAGTCGTGAGCAAGACACTGCAAACCGTGTTTTCCTCATCTGTGAAGGAGGGGAAGGAAATTAGGGTGTTGTGAGGGCGAGCCATTATTAGTGATCATGCTTTGCTTCTTCAAAGTGCTTCAGTACTAACTTTTCCTGGTCAATAGGGAGTAGATCATCCCAGAAGCAGGCTCTGCTGCTGCTTTTGCCCTTTTTAATCACCTGATGAACACTAAAGCAACACAAACTGCCAGGGCCATTTTCTTTCTGCTTCTGTTGTGCCTCACTTCAGCTCCGATGCCAGCAGAGCTGGTGCTCAGCTTTGGGAAGAACTAGTCACCTCCGGATAGCAGAGGCGCTCTCGCAGAAAAGGCGGGTGTCGGTTGTTTTCCAAGCAACACATTTTTTTTTAAAGTGGCACTGTGGCTAAATAGGAACAAAAAACTAAGGTCAAATCAGTTACCTGACTTGCTTGACAGCGTGCTTTTAAAGGCCACTACGATGAGGCTTTCAAATTCCTCAGTGGCACTGTGTAAACCGGGACGAATCAGGTCCCACTTGTACAGACAACCAAACGTCCATCATCTCTCTCCTCCGGGTCAGTGCTCCATCCTAGGGCACAAACTCTGCCCTACCGAGAGCCCAACCTGCCTGTGGCCAGCACCTTGCGGGGCTGCTCACCTGCAGCGACATAATCCATGTTCTCTGCCGTGTCCTAGTCCAGCATGGGCTTCCCCTCTCCGATCAGTGCCTTTGTGTCCTGATCAAGAGGGCGTGCTGCGCTCTGGAGCTCACCGTCTTCACACAACAGACCCCACCTGCTATTTCTTTCTGTATCCCACCACAGCAGCATTATTTTAATTGCCCCCAATTTTTTTTTCTCTTGTGAACTAAGCACCTGCTTCCAGTTTAACCCTCTAAGACCTCTGAGATAGAAATGCCCAGTAGAAGGGGGAGGGAAGGTCGGACTTCGTCCAGGCAGTGACGTCACTGAATGCCGTCCACAGCCACACGCAGTCACAAGCTGACTTTTGTTCCTTGTTCACAAAGGGGTTGGTTACAAAGAGCTGGCTTGGCGCGATCAGATACCTAAAATGGAAATTTTTGGCTTCTCCTCACTCGATGCTTTGTGTCCATATATTTTACTAGGGGAATAAAATAGACAGGGTGGGGGAAAGCAGTTATCAATGTCGGGTTGGTATCAGGAAGGCTGAATGCATTGAGAAAATGCACATGTAGCTACTACAGAAAGTTGACCTATAACCCTGTTACACTGCAGCCTCTTCTGCAGAATATGAACTAGTTTTATGGTTTTTTAATAAGGTTAGTACTATGGTGCACAGTTGGGGTTATGTATTACACTGAAAAATGGTTGGTTAAACCTGGCTCTCCCTTTGTGGCCTCATGTTCAGATCCTGGGTTCAGCCAGAATATGACTTCTCCTGCCTTGTGCCAGCCAAAGAGGCCTAGACCAGTGTATTGTCCATCATGCTGTGAGGCTCTCTCTCAGACCCAGAGGATTTTTCTGATGCTCTGCATTGTAAAACAGGCAGCCTGCTGGCCAGGAGAGCGCTCAAATGTCTGTAGATTGCTTGAGAGAAAGCTGGTTTCCAAATCATCCCTATTTCAAGATGTCTTCTCAAGTATCAGAAACCCCATCTTCCAGTCCCAAGCCCCAGAAAGCTCCATTACAGCATCCCAGCATGAAAGCCTATTGCACTATCAGCCAAAAGTACCATGCCGATACTGTTTGCTTAATGGTGGGGATAAAATTCTCACAGTGACCCACGGGCCTCACAGAAGCATTTGCACCTGATGCCTTTGAATCCAAGCCCCTCTGTTTGCTCATAATTAAGGCCTTCAAGTTTTAGTTACCAAAGCACCAGACTTTAATCACATTCCTTCCTTTTTAACTGCCACATGGATCCCACGGACTGGCTCTGCTACGTAAGATGACAGCACACAGGCCTGGTTTTCCAGCACTCCAAAGATCAAGGTCATAACTCAGTTTACAATGAATATTCACACTGATGCCACGTTGCCATGGGCAAAGAATGACCTCTGCCTGGTGAGTGACTCCCGCTGCAAGGTTATTATATATTGAGCCAACCCAGCAAACAGCCCTGTCTAACCTCAGCGCCTGAGTCACCTCTACTCAGCATCTTGGTGTCCAGTATGTCCCAGTATGAGGCACCAGTGAGATTCAGCATGGGATCAAGTTACTTTGCACTGACATTGCGTGTGGAATGTAGCATCCAAGAGGGCATGGTTTGTGCTCACTGCAGTCCTGTTCCTCTTCTGTTCACCTGTCACCAGAAGCGATGGTGCAGAAAATGAAACAGGCACCGTGCTGCCTTGCGGGGGCCTCCAAAATGGCATGTTCCTAGAAACCGTGTCCTGTTCGCTGGGCCAGCAAGGTCTAGGAGCACTTAGAGCAGCATTGAAAAGTTAGAAAGGACATCAGATGCCATCTGAAAAGAAAGAGAACGTGGCAAGCAGTCCCACAGCATTTAGAAGCAGTGAGAAGGTGGGACAACCTTTTGGAGTGAAGATAAGGTGGGAGGGAGCATTAATGGATGACAGATTGCTGCCAGCCAGTAATGAGGTGGCCTCAAAAGCTTCTTAATGATTACACTGACTTGGCCTTTCAGATGGAAAATGGAGCTCCAGGTGCTTTCTGGTCGCTGCACTTAGAGCCAGTCACTGCATTCATGTCCTCCTGCAGCCCTTTCTCTAGGCTGCGGGTAGAGGGTGGCGCCTGGAAGGGGGAACACCTGCTGCTCTCCATCAGGAGTGCCATCCCCACGGCCTGTCTGACCAGATGCCTTTCCGGGTAGACGGCCAGCCCTCGAACCAGGAGAAGTGCTGAGTTATCTGGTGCACACTGCTTGCTACATGACTTGCACGGACTGTGTTTCAGACGTGGGCGGAAGTTTGTACCCTGCTGTTCCTCCCAGTGCATTTGTTACCAGCCCACATGCCTTTGTGTCTGCTGTGTCGCTTTGACTGTCTTGTCCACTGCTGCTTGGTGACTGCATAAATGTGCTTGGGGAGTAGCAGCAGACGCACCAGATAACCCACCTTATTCTAGGGCATCCCCAGAATAGCACTGGGATGGCCAAGCTCACTCACCAACTGGACAAGCCTAGACCAACCCACCCAGCCGTGTGCTGGCTGGCACCCTCATTCCTCAGCTGCTCTCCAGAAAATCCTTTTCTCTTTCTCCTTTCAGCAATTATTTTTTTTACTCTGCTGCAGAACCTGAGAGGCTTGAGAAAGCAGTTGCCTGATGGAGCAGAAATGAGGAGGAAGGGGCAGGCAGGCACCAGATGGAGCAGTGGAGTGGAGGAGGAGGCAATGATTGCAGATGTTGCAGGGCTGTGTTCCCCACTCATTAGGCAGCTGGCACGCGCGCAGCCCCAGCGCTGCTGCTCCAGCCAGGTGGAAGGCCGCAGTGGGTTTGATAGCTCTTCAAGAGGATGAAGATGCTGATGAGGGTACAGGGGCTGGAGGGGGCTGGCTACATGGACTGGCTGGTAATGGAAATCAAAAGCCCAGCAAAAGAGCCGACTTGCTAAGGAGATGCTGAGATGAGCATGCATGCAATTGAGGGGTATAAACCAACATGTTCATCCCTCTCTCAGATTCAGGACTTCGCTTCTGACCCTTTGCTTCACCTTTGCGTCCTTCCTCCATACACACGCACAACGTGGCTAGTGCTGCATAGAATTAAATTCACCGTGGTGTCCGGATAGTGCTTGACTGAGCAGATGTAGGCTTTGCATGACCTGCGCTTGAATCAAAAGTGCATTCACTCCTGCTTTGATCCCAGCTTCCCTCCAGAGCTGACGGCAAGGAACAGTATTCTCTTTCAGCTCGTTTTGTCCCTTGTATAAATAATAGATGCCCGGGCAGGGCTTGGGGGAATCTAGATGTCTAGCAGAGGATGATGATCTAAAGAGAGACACTGAGGCTGCTCCCAGCTCCCTTCCCTGGCAAGGGGTTGCTGATGCTCAGGATCAGACCCTTTGTGACCGCTCCCAGCCCCCACCAAAGCTGGAAGGGTGCAGTAGCACTAGGGGATGAATCGCCCTCTGCTCGGCTTTTGTGGGAACATGGTGAGGGTGTCACTTCCACTCAGCGATTTTCTTCAAAGTTTGAACTGCATCTCATCAGACAAGCTTGCCGCCATTCCCAGGGCTGGGGATTTGGTCAGGTCACACAGCAGGGATGGCTTTCGGAGCCAGACGTATCCAGACCAAGCAGGTCAGTGACTTTGCAGTGACCTAGAGCAGGCCACAGTAGATGGACATCAGAGCGGGAGGAAGCAGGCAACCGTTCTGAGGTCCGCTGGCAGCACACAGGCTGCTGGTGAGACCCAGTGCCCGACCATCAAGCTGTAGTCCATCCTTTTGCATCACACGGCTACGTTGCAGGGTTGGACAGAAGTTCCCCGATGCTGAAACTGTATCTCCCTCCTGCGCCCACCTCTGTGGTGTCTCTGACCCCGGGGCATCCTTAGACCAGCAGCATCCCGACTCTACCTGAAAGAGTGCTGGAGACAGGCCAGGAGACCAAAGACTTACGCGTCATTGTGGTGAACTGAAACACACTGCAGTGGCCCCGGCAGAGGACAAGGATCCCCAACACGAGTCAGAGGGCCATTTGGCCTTGCGTTCTGGGACCTACAGTTTTTCACAAGCCGTGTTTGTGTGCAGACGAGAGGCTGACCAGGGGACTCAGCACAGAACCTGGGTGTTCTCCACATCTGGACCACCCGGCCTCGTGACCGGCAGCAGTGTCACAGCTTTCCCATTCAGACACAGAAAGCAGTTCCTCCC